AGGAACTCCATAGTGTCGAAGAAGTTTCTATAATGTTCTCCTGTCCACACTGTCAAACGCCTTCTTATATTCAATGAAGTTGATGTATAGTGGCATGTTCCACTCAACTGATTGTTCCACAATGATCCGTAGTGTCGCGATTTGGTTTGTGCACAACCGATCCCTACAGAATCCAGCCTGTTGATCTCGAAATCGGGCGTCTACTGCGTCTTTCATCCGGTTTAGCAACACTCTGTTGAAAACTTTTCCAGGTACTGACAACAAACTGATGCCTCTGGAATTCTCACATTTGCTCAGATCTCCGTTCTTCGGTTTCTTGGTGAAGCGTCCTTCTTTCCATTCTGTCGGTGGCACTTGTTCTTCCACCCAAATCTTCCTGAATAGAAGGTGAAGCATGTTTGCAGTCACTTCAATGTCTGACTTAAGTGCTTCAGGGGGTATATTGTCTGGTTCTGCCGCTTTCCCGCTCTTGATTTGTCTGATGACCATCTTGATTTCCTCGGTCGTTCTTGGAGTGACAGATATAGGAATGTCAATGTGTGCTGCTTCGATGTCCGGTGGATTCAATGGAGCTGGTCTATTCAGCAGTACCCCTAACTATCCTACATATCTTTTCCTCTGTTCTTGAACCTCCGTGATTGTCTTCCCTTCTTTGTTCTTGACTGGTCTCTCGCTTGGCATGCGAGAGGGCCCGGGATCGTTGCCCGGCACTTCCACGCTGCAACAGTCAGTTGCTGCCCCCAAATGCCCTGGTACGGCCGAGAGTCCGCTCCCCCTCTCCAAATGCTCTCACACGGCCACGCGTATATAGCCTCTGCCAGGGAATTCCTACTCACTGCCTTCTCGTGGCGGGGGTGTTATTTACGAAATTGAGAGGACAAAAAGCGAATGTCCGGCGCTTTAACCGGGTCGGTGGACACGGCGAGTCCACCTAGGGGAGGTGGAAAACCCTGATTCCAAATCAATGGTGCACATGGGTTCCAGCATCCTGAGGAAACAAATGGCGTATGAATCAGTCGTTGGTCACCGGCTACAATGGGACTGCATCTCCTTACGATGCTCCGCTGTCTTGTGGATCAGACCTTTAGGTCAAAGGCCTCGGGTGTGGCCCCCTAAGAAAACCACCTGCTTCAGTTTGGGCATCTGGGCAGTATCACAGCCCTCACACAAATCAAATGAGATTTGTGTGGCACATATCTATCTGGCGCTTCTGGTCTCTCCGGTTTACTATATCTCCCTGCTAGTTTCTTCGTAGTATCATATTCCCTTTTCTTGCAGCTTTTTCTGCCGTCGTTGCTAGTTCTTCCATGTATTTCTGCTTGTCGGCTTTAATGTTCTTCTTTACTTGCTTGTTTGCTTCTGCGTACTCTGCCTGTGTCTTGACTTTCTCTGATCGTGTTCGACTGTTGTTAATTGCTATTTCCTTGTTCTTCCTTTCTTCAATCTTTTCCAGGGTTCCTATAGAGATCCGTCCCTTATTATGATGCTTTTTGGGACCCAGAACCTCCTGACACGTTGAAATTAATGTTTCTATGATTCTTTTACAGTTGTCCTCCATCGTAGTTTCTTCTTTCTGTAGATCCTGTAAAGCTCGGAACCTGTTGTTGAGAGTTATCTCGAATTCATTGAACTTGTCAATATCTCGAAGGAAGGCTGTATTGAACCTTTGTACTGCTGTTCCCCCAATTGTCCAGTGTTTCTTTAGCTTCAGTTTCATCTTGACCACAACCAGGTGGTGATCTGAAGCTATGTCAGCTCCTCTCCTTGTTCTCACTTCTTCCATTGTCCTTCGGAATATTTTGTTGATACAAATATGATCTATCTGGTTCTCTGTGGTTTTGTCCGGTGAGATCCATGTAGCTTTGTGTATGCGTTTGTGTGGAAATATCGTGCCGCCTATAACTTATTTCTCGAATGCATATATATTTGCAAATCTATACCCATTTTCATTTCTATCTCCTAGTCCATGTCGTCACATGACATCTTCATATTCGGTGTTGTCCACTTCGACCCTAGCGTATAGATCTTCTATCAGGATGGTGAGGTACTTTCTTGGGGACTTCGTTATGATTGATTTCAGCCTACCATAAAACTGATCTTTATCGCCGTCGTTGCTTTCATTGGTGGGTGCATAACATTTTAGAACATTCATTGTGATCCTCTCCTTTGTTTTGATTGATGCTTCGATTATCCTGGATCCGTGAGATTCTCATCCTACAAGTGAATTTTGTGCTTCTCTGGACAGTATTAGAGCAACTCCCTGAGTGTGTGGAGCATTTTCCCCTTCGTGACCGGAGTACAGAAGCATCTCTCCCGTACCTAACCTTTGATGTCCAGCTTGGGTCCAATGAGTTCCGCTGATTCCAAGTACTGTCACTTTGTATCTCCTCATTTCCATTGCTACTTGACTGATCTTCCCCGTCTCCCACATTGCCCGGACGTTCCATGTACCTATAAAAATTGTTGCTCTGGTTGTTAGAAGAAGCACCGGCCTCGTGACTTCCGAAAAATCTCGGCTTTCATCCTGAGGCGCCATAATTCTCCCTCCCACTCCCAGGGCCTTTTTTAGTGGGATAGTTTTCTACGGGATGAGGTCGCTAACCCCATGCCCAACCCTCCTCCTTTACCCGAGCTTGGGACCGGCAGTAACTCTAGAAGAGCTACAGGCTGAGTTAACCTATTACGATACATCATGTAAAATTCGGCTTAGTAGTAGTGTAGTCTACTTATATCCATATAAATAGTGTACGGTGATGGTCAGACATAGAATGTATTTTGGCAGAAGACCGATAAGGAAAGAACTGAAATGAAGCGCAATTGGTAGGAAAATACATAAACAATCAAATTAGAGAAGATGAACTAATATTTACAGAAGGAACAGTGAAGATTGAGACAATTGATTGTTATTTTTCAAATTAACTGTTGACTGTATGGTTATCAGAATTTAGTGAGATAATCTGTAATTTGTGCCTAAATACATTCGATTGTCTCCATCAGTGTTCTTGTTCACTACAGTAGCATCAGTCAATTTTGCTTTTCATTCCTAACAATTTATTGAACAAGACGACGGAAATAATGTAATCCAGAAGAAAATTGACAAATGAATCTGATGTGTGGGCGAGAATGACAGTGATTAGTTGTCTTGATGAGTCAGACATTAGATAGGATGACAGGTGTTATGTGTTATATATATTCCCCTATCCTTATTACGTATTGACTGTTCCTTGTTGATGGACACTTATTGATTGACTGTTCTTTGTGTCGGATTTTGGTGTGGAAATATATTGACGTTATAGTCAGGCTAATCTCGTGTTCTTGATCTGAGTTGTGTTGAAGTTCTGTAGAATAGACACTGGGTGGGAATCTAGTGTACATATTCGTCTAAGGTAAATTAACGTCCCACATACGTGTAAGAAGTGAAAGGACTGTTATAACCAGAAACCCCTAGAGTTATAATCAGCATTCTTATTGTTTATAACAGAATCGGATAGATTCATAAGTCAACAGTGTTTTACATTTATGAATTCATTGGATCTTGTTTTTCAGAAAAAAAATTGAAAAGTTAATTTCTGCCAGTTTGAAACCTCGTATCCTTCTGTTTTGCTAATCTTCACTTATAATGTTAGGTGATGGAAAGTAGTTGGCAGATAACACTGAACCTGGGTTTCATGCAAGTTGGCACTCATCAGCAAGGCATACCTGGAATCGTGAGGGCCTGATGCTCCCTGTAGTAGTTGAACCCGCGTCGCATTATGTGTTTATATATTGTCAGAAATTGTTTAAGAACTAAGGGGTTTTATAAATTTGTAATTCATTTTTTATGTACAATAATTGCAGACATTTTGAGAAACCTCTCTATCGTAGAGACACAGGTATGCTATACAAGTAGTTAATAAACCTGTTAAGAGTGATAACCTCAATTAAAATTAAACTACACATTATAACAATAATGAAAAATAGCTAATCAAAATTCACAGTTTAACAAAATACTTGTAAAACTATACGAATGACTACAACGATTAAGATCTTAAGAGCTTCTTATAAATCAACTAAAGATAATTAGATCATTTTATGATGCAACAACAATAACATAATTAAGCCTGACAGTAAATATTGAACTGCATTATTATGTTAACAATCTATAAACACTCTTATACTTCATTTGTTCTTAGACAAAATAACTTTACAACATGTTTAATACCTTGTCTACAGTTCTGTTAATTGGAAAAGTTTAATTTTGTTAACCAATCGATTTAATTCGTGAACAACATTGAGTTATTATATTTCACACTAATTCAATTGTTTATTCGACAATGTATTGTTTTTGCTTCTGTTACAACTTAATTGGCATTTATATGTATACTCGGAGGAAGGTTGGTACTTTTTTGTCAGGTACACAAACCGTAAACAATTGACTTTGATTTTTAACACTGCAACAGACATACTACGCAAGAACCATTCAAAAATTTGAATTCGCTTAGACAATGACCAAAATAAAAAATATCGTAAAATTATTAATTTACGGTGACTACTAAAATATTTTAAGTTAATAATAACTTTCCTAGTATTAGATTGTAAATGTGCTGACCCAATATTGATTATATATACTGAAAATTTATTGGCTTACAACCAGCCTCATTATGTATTTTAAATAATTTCAACTCAGGATATCGTTTATAAAACGGTTACAATGAAAATTCAAGGTATGATGGTAGTATTGTTGTGAACAAAACACGACTGGAGACAATCGAATGTATTTAGGCACAAATTACAGATTATCTCACTAAATTCTGATAACCATACAGTCAACAGTTAATTTGAAAAATAACAATCAATTGTCTCAATCTTCACTGTTCCTTCTGTAAATATTAGTTCATCTTCTCTAATTTGATTGTTTATGTATTTTCCTACCAATTGCGCTTCATTTCAGTTCTTTCCTTATCGGTCTTCTGCCAAAATACATTCTATGTCTGACCATCACCATACACTACTTATGAAGATATAAGTAGACCACACCACAGTATTACCCTAGCCGATCCCTTGATACATTTATGTCATCATTAAAACTTCATATTACTAAGTACTATAAAGGAATAGATTATTAAATTCACTTTCTACCTATCTTTCTTTGCGTTCATAACAGATTCAACAACTCAAAGATCAACTAACTCATGAAACAAATAAACGTCAATTACTTTACGTACAGAATCCATCTTCTGTTAATCAAAGTCAGCCAAGTTTAACAAGTTACGGAAGTTCAGTAACTACAACAGGATGTGATTATGCTGAAATGAAATCTTCAATAGATAATAGTCGTCAACACGTAAGAGGAAAACATAAAAATCTATATTGTATTAATAATGTATATAAATGAACAATTAATGAGACTAGGAATCAATTAAAATTATCTAGATATACTTGAAGATATTTTTAAATTGATAAGATCATCCATACAGTTATGGATTTTAGTCAGCTGTAAGTAGCTTACAACTTCCAATTCAACGTAAATAAATAAAAAGAAATGTAACTGTTGTTAAATAATCATTATAACAAATAATATCACTCAGAAAAAAAAACATAATTCCCAAACTACTGTTTAGTCAAGAATATCATTCAAAATTTTAAGTTCAACAAACTTGTGGAGGATATAACATTCCGTTAACTGAATAATAAAAAAAGATATCCCAGCCTAAAGAAGCGGACATAAATATTAAATTAGCGTAGATATATAAAGGGAATCCATGGGCAAGAACTCATCCGTCTCATCCTCGACGAAACTAAGACCAATGTAGATGTACAATCACTGACATTATCACCAGAGATAAGCACTGTTAAGAAGCCTGAAATTCAAATTCACGTACAAGAACTCAACCAAAACAAAGATTTTGATAATTACATTTTTAAATTACGTAATGAAACTGAGGCGAAAATGAAACCGTAAAGTGTAAATTTATTTAACGCTAAATCATACTTTTATAATTCACAGGATTCATCCTTCGTGGGACTGTACAAGCCAACTACTGCACCATCTAGATATGACCCATACTACTACCAAATAACAGGCTCAATACCTGCTAGACTGAATAGATCAACGGGATCAAATTTATTAATAAAACCAAGAAGATCATTTGTTGAACCAAGACCATATCAATCAACGACCAAAATAGATAAAACAAATCCCCCGACTCGATATTCTAGTGATGGAAGAAATAGACAACGTCCTGAAGAAAATATCACAACAAATGCAGATATTAGTCCGTTGGGACAATCTTCCCTACCTAGAACACCGATTGCTGCTAGTCGTTCTACATGGCATGAGTCAAGGGATAGTACAGCTACAATAAACCGGAGTACAAGTGAATCTACAATACGTCCAAGAGAAGATAAATCAAAAGGTGACAATTAGTAGCATCTGTAATATGTTGAGCCTATAAATTATCATTATTTTAAAAAAAATCAACTTCCTATATTAAATTGGCCCGAATATGAAATGTGAAATTGTTAAATATTCCCACTATCTCTTTTAACTAATTTAATCATTATAAAACAATCACTATAATGTGCACTAAAACCTTTATTACCCCATCAATACTGTTACCACTAATGTTACTAACATTTTTTCACCTTCATTTACAGCTGAATTAATATCGTTTTTGACCAATATAAACTCAGAGAGAGATTAATGGTGCAAATATAAGTATTATTACTGCTATCATCACTGTTAATCTGCGAAAAGTATATTTCACTATTACGATACACGTTTGTGCACACATTACTTACATCACTGTGAATAAATGTAGTAAATTGTAAACCATGTTAAACCATATCACTTTGTAATATACCTTAATCAGTTGACTCAATCCTACCTTAATAAAGTCCCTTATATTCATACATTCACTTCTAGTAAGTCATAAATTATTCTGGCCTGATTATCATTTTGCGAGCAAACAATGCTACCCCTATAAGGAAAGAATAACTAAACAATGTCCAGTCAGCTCCCCTCCTATGTCCTGTGTTTTCTCCCTTGATTTTTCAATTCTTCTTCTTATGGAACATGAATTGAATTCGCTACACGAACGTGTACAAATGTGAAATCACGATTACTGAGAAATCGTTGTACGATACCTGTTTGTTCATAGCTTTTTTAATAATTGCCTAGTCATTATTTGGAATTTATTTTAAAAATTAATTAAAACACAAAATCGTGTGAACAAATCTTTTTTTTGCTATTCGATTTCCAAACACAAGTCACTACATTTCAAGACATTCTTATTCATATTTTATAACAAACTATCCCTGTAACGAAATAGGATTTAGATCTATTACAAATAACCCCATGTAAAACGTCGAGCATCCGAATACATTTTGGTTGTACAAAGATGTTATTATTATGACTCAGCTATTCCTATTGCTTAGGATTCTTGGACATCTATTCGCTGGACAAGTACCCCAATTAGAGCACGGTTGAACAAGAACAAAATTATATTCCAAATATCAAGGTTGGACGGAAGTAGGAATCTGCTAGCGGAATATAGATTGGATTAAAGCATGTTTCATGCATGATGGTGTTGCTGCGCGCTGATTGGCTAATTCTAAACCGATCAGCCCGGGCATATTGCTGGAGAAAAATCTAGAAGCTTCTTATGTATATACTATAAATGTATGAACGTTATTCAAATCAGTGATTGCTGTTCACATACCATTATTTTGAATACAATTTCATTCCTGTTCAAAGTGTTCTGATTTTGGGGTCTTGTTGAGTGTCATTGCATAAGAATACTAAGCAATAGGAATAGCTGGGTCGTTTAGTAGCAAAATACAATTATAACAGAATCATAACAAGAAAAGTGTTAACACATTCGTAATTTTTACACAAGAAGATTCTAAAGTCTTCCCAAGTATCCACTAGCGCTGATCAGTTAAGAAATAGCCAATCAGTGTGCACCAACACAATCCTGCACGAAACGTGCTTAATCCAATATGTCCCACTAACAAAAGATGATTAGCTTGTTTACATCGTAGTAATATTATCATATCAATGTAAAATGTTCGCCTATTTAAAGACTATTTAACGCTTCATTAAAATTACTTGGTTCCTGGAAACCTCATTTAGCCAGACTACACACTCTTCCCACAACTCGATTGGGTTGTTTTTTACTGAATTTATTATTAGCTATGGAGTAGTGGTATAGTCACTCGCTTCAATTGCCAAAACATGAGCTGAAAGCCGTCAATTATCATACCTAAAACTACGCAGTTCCATTATTACCCATCATACCACAAAATACGCATCGACAGGAAAATAAAACGTCTATGGAAAAAAATATACCTTTTTAACTACAAGCCGAGTTTGTTTGTTTGTCGGTGAGCTAGTTAGAAATAAGATTAAATCCTCTAATGCTAATTTTGATAAATAAATGGGGTGAATCTATTAGGCGTATGAGAATATTAATTTTTAAGTGCAGCTTAGAATTAGCATCATAGAAACGGAAGATAAAAGATCTCAAAAAATAAGACTGACTTTCTGGGGCTGGTGAACGAGATTTTAAGAGTCCTAGTTAGGGCTTAACTCAATATGAGATGCACCTTTGAGAACTATTAACATCGTCAACAATCATCTTAGCATTACAAAACCCAGTAACCAGTCAGTGGATGTCATTTCGTCCCATGACTAGTATTTCAAGGAAAATTACTACGCTGATTAACTGTTTCACTTTTTACATGCAAGTTCTCCAATTTTCCGGTCTTCTTATTGGAGTTGTAAGAAGCTTCAAGTTCATTGGTTGAAAATGATATGTGCACAGTCAGACTTAACCTTACAGTGATTCAAAGTTTTTGCCACATGTAATCATAGTCACCAGTTCTGGAAAGTAAAAATGGATTTGAAACATCTAGTCCACTTGTTTTCCTTATTTATTTACTATCTTAGAACTTTCAAGTTATTCGGTTCTCATCCAAATGGTAAAAATCTAATATACAAGAAAATTGATGCAGAATTCTGGCAACAAAGCATTTAAATCTAAAAATGTATGTCTTAATTAATTCAAGATGTGGGTGATTCCTGACAGCTACAACATAACTTTAGGCTACGGATTTTATAAAAATGGATAGGACCACATTTACGACACTAGACTAAAAAGAACATCTAGGTGTAAACTAAAATACAGAGACCGGAACGTCTCAATAGATAAGGTATCTTGCAGAAATCACTAAGACATTTTTGTAAACACAAAAGTAATTTGACCAACATTTATGAAGAATACACACCAGCCTGTTTCTTTTGATCGGAACTAAACCCACAAATTTATACTACGTTAACTTGGTTTAAAGGTTATATTAAATAAGAAAGCATACAATTGTATTTTTGGCTTATTATGTCAGCAGGCTTTACAGGAAAAAAAACAGATGACATAGTACGCTCCTTCAAACATGTAATATCAGTAAATTAAATATAATTAACCACCTCATACAGATACAGACTAGATTTCTAGAAAAGTTACCAGTGTTTTACCGTCGTAGACCCATAAACACTAAAAAAATTCCAGGAATACTAGCCATTCAAAGTAGAATAAATAAGTTCTTTATGTTATACACCCGAACGCAAAAAAAAACTTAATAAAATCTATTTAGAGAAATTGTAATCTTCATTAGTCTTTTAAAAACGGTTCAAATAATAGCAGCTTCCAGACGCAATGCGATATAACTAAAAGGACAAAACTTAACGAAGGCAAGTCCCAAAGCTAATGGAGAAATTATTCAAGTCCATGTAAGAAAACAGAGGGTTTTCACTTAATTGAGCAAATATTTTATTTCATAGTTCATAAGATGCATACACTAATAATGGAAGTATTCCAGGACGAAACCTATACTATTATTCACGGGTTGTGCCAATACCACGTGACCACAGTAAGCCTATAGTGGGTTTTAGCCGACTTAAAATCCGAACAAAACCTAACATTAGAAACGATCATGTCACGCAGGTTCAGAAAGGTCTACTAGAAAACCTGTAACCCCGGAGTTACATTCATAACCCAACACTGAACTAAAACACTGAATGCTTCAAAAACTCTGAACATTACTGAGAAGCATTTATTTAGGCCTTTCAAAAAGCGAATTTTCGATAAGACTATATACAAATCCGACGATTGAAATACGTTTACATAATACCAGGTGTTAGCGATGTTTTCGTGATTTGGATACTCTGAATTATCAACATATAATACATCACAGACAAACCCTTTTCTCGGTCTATCTTTTTGTCGGTTTTTCCGTTTCGTTTTCGCCTGTTTTAAAGGGAGCTTTTTGTTGACGAAACTAGCACTGCGCTATTACAATTAACGCACACTCAGTACCAAATCACTTAAACTTACATCAAAAGCAAACGCTTCAGCATCAGCCTTAGCCTTTGCCTTATTCTGCATGAGTTCTTTGTAATTAATGTATGGGTTTTTCGGTTTCTTAGCCCCCATTTTGAGAAGTAGAGATTTACGAGTCTCCTTTCGTTCCACTCCTGATTGCATTGATATATTATACCGTAATATGTCCAGAGGTACATCTCCTAATCTGACGAACATTTCCTCGTTTTCCTTCTAGATTGGCAGTAAATATTAATCACAAGATTGAACAACCTCATTTTCCGCACTTTTCTTTTTCAATTTGACCTTCATTTTACAATAACCGCAATCTTCAGTAATAAGGATAGGAGGTCTACCGACCTATGTTAATCCTTGAATTTTGCAACATTGTGGAGGCTCAGTTTCGTTTTGAATATATCAACAGAAGGCGATTATATTACGTTTTTCGGTAGATAATCCCAGTAATTCACTACTCGGTGAGAGAAAAAAACTCCAGAAGTAGACGATTTGATCTTGGTTTTTGAAATTTCTTAGGATTTCCTCCAAACGATCTGTCCTAGATGGAAGGAAAAGTCAGAACATATTAATACCAACTTCATCGTTTAGTATAAAAAATAAGCCAATATTATATCACACCGTAATCTGCAACAAGATAAAACATTATGAAAGCTTAATTTTCAGTATTTTACACCAATTTCAGTATAATCTCTAGGAAACTCGACTGATTCCATAATCTAATATCTTTATTGTGAGCTTATTTAAACCGATTGACTTCTTTTCTCCAACTTCTTGTTTTTGTTATGGTTTTAGGTCTTTGTTAAGTTCCAATTAGTGGTAGTCCAGCGGCACGACTAAACTTGTTCTAGTCAGTTTGTTAGTTGTTTTGGGGTTTGTATATCTCAACATCTGAGTGAGTTCGTCCCATAGCGTTAGGGTTTCTGGAACTCATAGATATCAGATCATCGGGCAGGGAGTCGGTTGGTTGCAATGTGAAAAATAATGAAGGAAAAATTTGAATGCTAATAGAAGACGATTGCTCCAATAAGTAAATAAGCTACTTAGTATGAGCAGAACAATAGATAAGAATAAAAAATAAACGGATATCATAATAAGAGAATAGGAATAAGCTAGTCATATATGAAGATGTTAACAGAAGATAGGATGCGAGACATGATTCAGATACGTGGGTCCAAACGAAAGTATATGTTTGCCATGTCTCCTCTTGAAGCTGTCTACTGAAGAGGATGTGGTCACTTTAGCTGAAGGGACATCCCTGTAGCTGTAAATAATTCCCCAAAATCAATAGCTCATTAAGTGTTCGACATTGGATGCTGACCACGTTGTTTAAGTGGACTTGTTTAGCTGAAGGCTTTCGGTCATGCATCCGCACCAGATCACGTTTCGACTCGGCGTGGGACACAGCTCCTACGTTTCATTAGCCAGCTCATAGAAAAGGTCCTCGATATATTGGTAACGAATCAAATATATCTTTCCTGCCTCTTCTCGTCTGACTTCTGATTTCTATCTGACTGGGAACAATCGAATTTAGAAGGTGCTACTGGTATCTAGTTGTAAAACTAGAATATCCGTTGCATCATCATTGGTGAACCCGACGTGATCTGGTACACCAAGTCAATATACTGTGAGTCTGTTCCATTTTGGAATATTATTATTCATTGTTATTCTTTATTTGAATTTTATATATTGTGATATACTTTTTCGCGAATTTTTTTTCACGGATATATTTTAATTAGACATTTTTCGTTATCTATATTAATATGACGGAACACTCACCCAAGGTTTTTAAGTTAAAGTCTATTCCCCCTATTTCGATTCAGTTAACGCCATTTTGGCCCGACAATATCGAGTCCTGGTTCTGCTATGCAGAAGCCGATTTTTGCATGCACGGAATCACGGACTCGCGCACACGTTTCCTCGCGGTAGTTAAGGCGTTACCGCGCGAGTTTAACAGGTACGTAACATCTAGTATGTTTACTAGTGATGTTTCCGAACCTTACGAATCGCTTAAGCTATCGATTTTAAAACGAGGAGACCTAACTGATCGACAACGGTTAGACCAACTCCTTAACAATATCGACTTGCAACATGGTTCTGCGACGGACATGTTGCTTAGAATGAGAGAAGTCATTGGCCAACGAACTTTCGATGATGGTCTATTTAGACAACTTTTCTTGTCTAAACTCCCTCAACAGGTGCAGGCAGTGCTTGTTTCATTTCAAAACAATGCCATAGATGAACTAGCTGCATCTGCCGATCGAATCTTGGAAATCACTAGATCTTCTAAGGCCGAGGTTTTTTCCGTCAAAGAAAAACCCCAATCGACCTCGACTGACATGGCCGAACTATGTCACACGCTTACACGATATCTTAGAGTTCGCAATGACCGTAGTCGGTCAAAAACCCCGCGTAGAAGCGCCTCACGTAAGCGATCTGGCTCTCGACCACGAGAGACAGACAATCCCGACTGGTGCTGGTATCATAACCAGTACGGTAAGTTTTCCAGAAACTGCAGGAAACCTTGCAATTATCCGACCCCAAAATCGAGTGACACAAAAAACAGTTCGGGAAACTTCCCAGCCGGCACGCGTTAACGGCAACCGTAGCCGGCGAACACAGCCGCCTCTTATATGTCACGTATGTGACTACGAAAGTTCGCTACCTCGTCGACACTGGCGCAGAAGTTAGCGTTCTTCCAGCAAATCCCGACGACAGACTTCGCGAGTCTGATTTAAGTTTACAGGCGGCAAACGGAAAGCCGATCGCCACTTACGGTAAAAGGTACGTCTACCTTAACGTGGGTTTACGCAAACCCATACACTGGATTTTCGTGGTTGCAGATGTCTCTACGCCAATCATTGGTATAGACCTGTTACAACACCACAATCTACTCATCGACACACGCTCACGAAAGTTAATAGACGGAAACACTAAGTTATCTGTTAGCGTAACTCCTTGTTCTGGTTGCAGGTTATCCCCAGTCACGATTAAACACACCATAGACCCCTTGTACCAATCAGTACTCGACAAATACCCCGGGATATACCAATCGCAGTCGAAATTGCCTTGTGTAACCAGCAATGTTACACATCACATCACGACTACAGGACCACCTGTATTTTCGAAAGCTCGAAGACTCGCTCCCGAGAAGCTTAGGTTAGCTAAAAACGAATTCGACCACATGATGGACCTAGGGATAATTCGACCATCGAATAGTCCATGGGCATCCCCATTGCACATGGTCCCTAAAAAGGACAGCAATGATTGGCGGCCAACTGGTGATTATAGGCGTCTGAATGCTAAAACCATTCCCGATCGTTACCCGCTGCCTCATATTCACGATTTGACAGCTACCTTGAAAGGTACAACTGTCTTTTCGAAAATCGACTTGGTTAAAGCTTATAACCAAATCCCGATGGCACCTGACGACATTCCTAAAACCGCCATCATCACTCCCTTCGGTCTTTACGAATTTCTACGAATGCCTTTTGGTTTAAGAAATGCGGCTCGAACCTTCCAAAGGTTTATAGACGACGTCTTCCGAGGTCTCAACTTCGTACATGCGTATGTTGATGACTGTCTAATAGCAAGTCCGGACAGAGAATCACATCTCAAACATCTGGACATTGTTTTCGATCGACTCCAAAGGCATGGCATTACTGTCAACATTCAGAAATGCCAAATCGGAACTAACTGCTTAGACTTCTTAGGACACACTATTGATGCTCAAGGCATCCGACCACTTAGGAGCAAAGTGGCGGCCATTCTGGATTACCCAGAACCGACCACGATCAAGCAGTTACGAACTTTCAACGGACTCGTAAGTTTCTATATACGGTTCATACCTAAATGTGCATCCCTAATGAAACCGTTAACCGATCAGCTTCGTGGAAATGCGAAATCAATTAGTTTAGACGACATAGCCCGTAAAGCATTTTCCACAGTTAAGGAACACATCGCTAAAGCAACCTTGCTTGCTCATCAGGACAGTCAAGCGCCCATTAGTATCGCCGTAGACGCATCCGACTCAGCAATCGGAGCAGTCCTACAACAATGGGTTAACAACTCGTGGCAACCTTTAGGATTTTTCTCGAGACGGTTGCTAGACGCGGAATCTAGGTACAGCACGTTCGGTAGGGAACTCCTAGCTATGTATTGTGCTGTACGGCATTTTCAACATTCCATCGAAGGAAGAGAATTCACGCTCTTTACCGATCACAAACCTCTTACCTTCTCTTTAAGTTCATCTTCAGACAAGTACTCACCAAGAGAGTCTCGACAACTCGACTACATTTCGCAGTTTACTTCAGACATACAACATATTTCTGGAGCAAACAATGTAGTCGCAGACGCCTTGTCTCGAATTAGCTCCTTGAACAGTTTCCAAGGAATCGACCTTCTTAAACTCGCTCAGCTTCAAAAAGAAGACATTGATCTTCAGCATGAGTTATCCTCAACAACTCTTAAACTAAGTATTAGGCAGATGGGAACAGGTAAGGAAACCTTACTCTGTGACACATCTACGGGTAGGGATCGTCCAATTGTACCAAAACACTATCGCCTCAACGTCTTCAATACGTTTCACAATCTTTCTCATCCAGGTGCTCGTGCAACAATCGAACTTATAGCCGAACGCTTTTGTTGGCCTGGCATGAATAAAGACGTGAGGGAGTGGGCACGCTCCTGTGTAAGCTGTCAGAAATCTAAGGTAATCAGACACAACAAATGTCCCTTAGGTTCTTTCAAAACCCCTGACGCTCGTTTCGACCACGTCCATCTAGATTTGGTAGGACCCTTACCCGACTCGAACGGATACTCATATCTCCTAACATGCGTAGACCGTTTTACTCGATGGCCGGAAGCAGTACCGATTAAGGACATTACTGCTGAAACCGTGGCCCGCGCTTTCGTCGAACGATGGGTAGCAAATTTCGGCTGCCCTTCAACCATCACTACAGACCGCGGACGCCAGTTCGAATCTGGACTTTTCCGTTGTCTGACCACACTTTTAGGAATCACGCGCTTCCGAACGACCGCCTACCACCCACAAGCAAATGGGTTGGTAGAACGTTTTCATCGACAATTAAAAGCTTCATTATCAGCTTCAAACGTTTCACAGTGGACAGACGCTCTTCCACTCGTCTTGCTAGGTATCCGCAATGCAGTGAAAGCTGACATTGGATACACGGCATCTCAACTCGTTTACGGAACGACACTCCGACTCCCAGGAGCATTCATGGATCCTTCAGCTTCTTCATTGAACATGGATCTAAACTCTTACACGAGTAGGCTTACAAACGCTATGCGTTCAGTTAAACCTGCTCACACTCGACCTCAATCAACTGATGTTTTCGTTCAACCCGAATTACGACATAGTACACACGTCTTCGTTCGTCGAGACTCACATCGACGACCCCTCGAATCAGCATACGAAGGACCCTTCAAAGTTCTTCAACGCGAACCTAAGTACTATGTAGTCGATAAGAACGGTACGAAAGATAGCATCAGTATCGATCGACTCAAAGCTGCGTACCTAGAAGGAAACCCTAGCTACGTCGA